AAACCCACTAGCTAACCACCTCATCTTAAAATTAACATATCCCATAAAACAGTACAAGTTGATTAATAAAGAAAAGATAATTATTAAGTACATTAAAGTGAAAAATTTAATGAAATACAGACACAGGTACACTACAAATTAATTCTTTCAAGCGAGACTAAAGTATTTACCTAATAGCGCGTATCTTGCTTTACTGTATTTGAAATTGTTCTAGCCGAAATTAGTGCCGGATTACCGATTGCTGGACTAGTGATGGTCAACCTGTATCTAATAATATGCTGAGTGTTGACCACCTTGTTTCTAATAATAGGCTGAGCTTTAACCACCTTGTTTCTAATAATATGCTGAGCTTTGAACACTTTGTTTCTTGTTAACTTTTGTTGATCTCTTGCTGTTTCTTGTTTCTAATAAATTATGTTGATATTTTGCTATTGTTTGTAATGATCTTTAGCTTGTTTTTTTTACTAATTAATTGTTTGATCACTTTTTTTTTGTTTGTATTAAGTTATGTTGGTCATGTGTTATACGTTTTACGTACAGCCTCTTTGGAACATTTTACTATACTTTTTTCAAGCGAGTAGCTAAAATTATAAGGTGATTTTTTATGTTTTTATTCTAAACAGAAATTAAGTATAGAACTTTCTGTTTGTGCAAGAGCTTTAAATGTTGTTTGCTATATTTTTTACATTTACATCCTTGTAACTACTGTTATTTTAAGATTTTGTATTATTATTTTGTTGCTTTAAATATTAGATAATAGTCCCTTATTACTGCGTAGTTCATCATAATAAAGTATTTATGGTTTTAACCAGTTAAGTTATGAACTATGAAAATATAGCTGTAGTTTACATACATTAGTTTGCTCTGAAAATTTTGTAAATGTTTTTTTTTCAGTTTAAATACATATTTTTAGTCTGAGTTTCAGACAGCATTCATCTGTATTGAAAGAGTATGATTATAACATATTGTCTTGCACCATTGAGGTCAATATCTAAATAACAATAGCTCCCAATCTGCAAATTTTTTTTTACTCTGGTGACTTTACTTTGAATAAAAAAACATTAAACGAAATGTAATAATTTTTTTCTCCTATTTGCTTGAACTAGTGCAGGGAACTTAACTATATGTAACGATGAAGCAAGAACTTTAGGGTTAAAACAATTACTTGAAAAACCAGACATACATACTTTCTGATAACAATTTTCACTTGCAGGTTATTGAGAAAAACTTATTCAAATTATAAGGTAGTTCTTTAAAAACAGGAATGATTATTTAGAAAATATATGTACCTTTTGTAAAACATGAAGGATCAAACTTAAAGCCCAATGTTTCAAAATAAAATAATTAATTAGTGTGTAATTATTACTATTTTACAATTCCAGGGTTAGAAAGCTGTTGTATGCTTTAGGGTAATAAAGTGCATTATGCTTACCCATAATGTGTTATATTACTGACAGATTCTAGAATATAACAGAACCACATCTTCTGACACACTGTAACATGCTTGTTTATGATTTAGTTCAGGTGGCTACTAAAACATAATTTTTATACAAAGTTGATCGTGATTTATCTAGTTTACTTTTAATATAAGTACATTATTTTAGATACTTATCACTTAATTATATTACAATGAAGTGGTCAACTTTGTTACTAGAAGTCCAAACATTTTTCTAAAATAAGTTGTGGATCATATTAATAATTGTGATGTTACTTGTTTGATATAATATAGCTGGAAAGTATACTGTAATTTCTTACATTAAATTTTTTGTTGTTGTTATATGACAAAAGGTTTGTGTGATGTTCAAGTTACTACTGGCACTGGTTTGTGATTAGAAATAAAATCACTGTGATACTTAATTTTAAGGTTTGTATTTTGTGGGGTCTAGTACCAACTGCCTTGGCACTGGTTTGTAATTAGAAATAAAATCACTGTGATACTTGATTTTTGCTTATCTGACTTTTTCTGGAAAAACTGAGAGCCCTTACTAACTGTAATAATATTTTTACAGAACTTAATACATTAGGTTATTATTCTGGGATTGAATTTTAGTCATACTAACAAAGGATTTATACAAGGCATGAAGTTTCTTTGGTGGCTTCTCATAGATGTAAATCATTCACAGGCACTAAGGCAGTAGCATGGGGTGGCTGAAATGAATGTCAGACTCGTACAAATGACAAAATAATTGAAGAAAAGTTCAGACAGACACAACCACCTTTTATAGTATAGAATTTGTGGAAATATCCAGTTAATTAGTGTTTAATGGTACTAACACAAATAATAAGAATGATTCAGACAAACACAACCCACTTTATAACATCCAGGTCATTAGTACTTAAATGTAATTCCACAAAAGGCACAGGTGAGAGGCCATGTCATTGCATTTGTTGACTCGCATTCAAAATGTTATTGAACTACTATTTCATGAATTTATGTCAATACATTTGATATCAAACTGTAGATTATAATTCAAATTTTAACATTAAACCTTACTCGATTTCTTAATATAAAAAAAAACACAGTTAAACATCAATTTTTGTGTGCCTGTGGTATGTTGAATGCAGCATTAGTTCAAATTAGATGTTTGTGAAGTCAAAATACTAAGTCTATATTTTTGTGCAAATTAGAAACTCAAATTACCTAATAACTAATCGGAAGCTCAGAATGTCCTAGTGGTTTTCTCAGCCATTTTAACGGACTTGGCACCATTTCTTTCTTTTCAACCAATATTTCAATGAGGTAGGGTGTGTCTTTAGTCTGCTTGAAACTTCATATTTTTTTAGACCATAATACATCTTAGTTACTAAGCTTAATAAGTTATAGTAAAATTCTATGATATTAATATAGTAATTTATGATTTTTTAAGTTATTCAAATGTATATATAAAACCTAAAAAAATATTTTGTTTCATATCCTCCATGAGCAAAATTTTAATAGGCTTAGCAACCTACGTCAAGTTCAAAGGTCATAACTAGAAGAGATAATTGTTTGCTATATTTCTTTTTTTACTGTTCTATGTTTTAATAAAAATATGTTTAGGAACTTATTTCTAAATAGTAATAATCAATATACACATATAATGTATTCTACAAAATACTAGTCGACTAAAACACAGCCAAGACAGGTCACTTTGTAAAGACTAAAGGTCAATTTTATATTATTGGATACGGTAACATGAGTGTACATGCGCCGCATCATTGTAACTTCTGTATGGTTAGCCAGGCATGGCTGAAATGTCAATATAATAAAAATAACAAATATATAATGCTATGAGACTTAAGCTATTAAGTCTAAACATTTATATTTTCGTGTTATAATCTGTAGTCATTCTAGCACAAAAAAAAAAGGCACAACTTATATGCATTTCCAAATCTTTTCAACATGGTTATGAGATCAGTCAAATTGGCCAAACCTGTACAGAGAATCGTTACCAAAAATAACAAATTATTAGTTTTTTTCTTAAGAAACATTTAATAACTATCTGGACATTATAAAGATTTCGCATGTGAAAATTCAAAATTTTCTGATGCACAAAAGTATTTTTAATCTTAAAATGAAAATTACTTTGCATGTTGCATGCAAAAAGAAAAAAAAGGCATACAAAAACATTGC